ATATTAGGAATAAAACACGATCCCTGAGCTCACGTTAGGGAGGAGGAGCAAATACAAAAACCTACCAGGGGTCAGAGCCAAGGGCTTTAGTTAAGATGAAGTGCAGGGGCTTCCCTGGTGGCACAGTGGTTAAGAATCCACCTGCCAATGCAGGGGACACGGGTTTGAGCCCCGGTCCGGGAAGATCCCACGTGCCACGGAGCAGCTGAGCCCGTGTGCCACAACTACTGAGCCTGTGCTCTAGAGCCTGCGAGCCACAACTTCTGAAGTCCATGCGTCACAACTGCTGAAGCCCGCGCGCCTTATAGCCAGCGCTCCGCAGCAAGAGAAGCCACTGCAATGAGAAGCACGCACACCACAACGAAGAGTAACTCCCGCTCACCGCGACTAGAGAAAGCCCGCGTGCAGCAACAAAGACCCAATGCAGCCAAAAACAAATAAAATAAATGTATTAAAGAAAAAAAAAAGATGAAGTGCAGCAGAGGGTGGAGAGGGACGAGGGTGCCATTGCAGAGTGTGTGGGAAGGGCCTCTCTGAGGGGTGACCCGTAAGCAGGGTGGGCCCTGGAAACAGTGGGGGCCACGAGCTCACCTGGGGGAGAACATTCCAGGTGGAAAGGGAACACTGGTGAAGGAGGGAGAGGGTGGTTTGTTGCCCACTCGGCTGGGCCTCCCCACTCCTGCGACAGCTGGCTGGTGATTCACCCATCACCAGGCGGGTCTGAGAGGCTTCCCCTGATGCCGGGACGGAGCACACGACCCACACCCGAGCCAATCAGGGCTTCCCAAGCCCCCTGGCCAGTGACTGGCTCGGGGATGGACAAGGGACCAAATCAGAGCCCCTGAGATGTGGCGAGACTTTTGGGTGGACAGCTGGAAGGATGCCCTCACCCTTCCCAGCTGGACCAGAAACTGGAGAGGACGTGAGGGCTGAAGCTGCTACCACTTGGGGCCTGAGAAGGAAGCCAACCCAGGAGAGGGTGGAGCCGAAACACGGAGCAGAACTAAGCCCAGGTGACCTCCTCTGAGCCGTGCAGCCACCTTCCAGCTATCACAACCCATGCGTCCCCCTCCTGTTCCAGCCCATCTGGCTCAGGGTTTCTGTCACTTGAACACAGACAGTTCTGACCAAACAAGAATCCACGCTGAGATGCAGCCAGGGCCTCCCACATGCTCACACCCCATTTATTCCGAGTCAGAGTACCTGCCACACGTCAACCAAGCATGAGGCGTATTCTTAGTCCCAGCTGTTTTCCTTCTAGGCAATGAGTTTCATCTGCACCTTGAATCTTTTCTGTCTCCCGCCCCAACTTTTAAAGACAAAGAGCAGGTGGCAGCAGTGCCCCTGGGCCCGAGGTCTGGTTCTGTGCACGGGGACCTCCGTGAGGCTGAGTGCAGGCGACCCCGTCCCGACTGTGACTTCCCCACCGGCTGCCCTGAGTAGGGTCCCACATTGCAGAATTCACACCTCTCAGCTACAGAGCCCTAAAACTGCTCTTCAGGAGACGAAAAACTAACAACCCCACCTATGTTTGATCAGAAGCCGAAGCAACACACCAGATTTTCAGCTCCATACTTTTTCACATAAACAGCTGACTTCCTGTTTATCAGCTATTCATCAACCTCTCAGGTCATTCACTCCGCAACACTTACTAACTGAACACATACTATTCCTTTGGTTTTCAGAGTTTACAAACGCCCTGCACATTCAGTCCCACCCACTCATCCTGATGGCGAGGCCGAGAGCTCAACTATAATCCCCGTGGTTCTGTTCTTCAGAGGACACGTGACTGACTCTCGGCCACTTAACAGCAAAGTGTAAGATCTGACTCCAAACCAGCAGCTTCCCCTCCTCCTATCTGTCTCCAAACCCAGCCCGTATTCCAAAAACTGTGGGGCAAGAGTCTAGAAAATCGAAATATGAAACCAACAAACTGTCACCACCAAAACAAGGCAGAGAGACTTTTCTAGTGGAAGTGCAGTGTTCAGCAGTGTTGCTCTCTCCCAGTTTCCAGGTCTGATCAAAAACAAGCGTCCCAGGGATTTCCCTGGCGGTCCAGTGGTTAGGACTCTGCGCTTCCACTGCAGGGGGCACAGGTTCGATCCCTGGTCAGGGAACTAAGATCCCGCATGCCGTGCGGCGTGGCCAAAGGAAAAAATAAAAATAAATAAAACAAGCATCCCAGGTGTGAGTTTAAGAAGCTTCTTCTAACTGCCCCTCCTTTCCAGCGGAGCTGCCACAAGTTTAGCCAAAGTATCCTTGGCACAAGGAAGGTCTGGGAATACACAACTACACACGTTGAACCATCTGGACCAGGGCTACTCAAGAGACATGTGAGAGTCATGTGTAATTTTACATTTTCTAGTAGCCATATTAAAAAACCAAAAGAAACAGGTAAATTTAATCACGTTTTACTTAACCCAATACGTGAAAAATATTATCATTTCAAGATATAATCAGTTTTCAAAGAAATTACTGTTGATATTCTAAATTTTTTGCACTAAATCTTCAAAATCTCATGCGCATTTTACACCAGCAGCGATCACTAGCCCTATTTCGAGCGTTCAATAAGCCCGCGTGGCTAGTGGCTGCCAGTCTGGGCAGTGCTGCTCTAAACTACCAAAAAGCCTGGTAACTGCTGAATTTCTAAGTGAGAGCTTTCCATTACAATGCTTTATTCCCCAACTGGTCTTTACAACCCACATCTGAAGACAGCAATACTCAAAGTCCACCTATGTCAAAAATGCACAGACCGGAAATAAAGCTGTTACTGGGAAGCACAGCTGCAGACATGCATCTCCTGGGCTCAAAGGTGACCAGCAACCGTCCGTACAGCCCGGTCCGCTGGCTGGATACCTGCAGCTTCAGCAAGCAGACGCCTCGGCTCTGGAGTTCTTTCGGAGAGACACTTTCCTGCCAGGACCTGGGAGACACCCAATGTTGAGACTTCAGTATTTGTATTTTACCAGTTTTCACTTCCAACCGTGCAGGAAGAACAGATGGAGATCTCTGCACAGGCACGAAGGGTGACCAGGGAAACTCCAAAACTGCCCCCCCTCAAACCTACCCCCCCATAGCCCCAGCGCGATCTGTGCCCTCCTCCCAGTTTCCCAAGACAGAACCTTCGCTCATCTTCACCTTCTGTCCTGAGTCCTGTGTGTCGCTGAGTCCCACCAGGCCCCTCCCATTTGTACCCAGAATCCACCCCTGCCTCATCCTCGCCGCCACAGCTTTGGTTCAAGCCCACATCACTGGCCGTCTCCGGACTAAACCGAGCTTCCTAACTTCCTTATCTCTGGGTTCTCCCCAGCCAATCCCAGCAGCAACATCCAACAGATCCCCCCTAAGATGAAAATCTATTTACCTCTCTGACCTGCTTAACTGCACCGAGGCCCATCCTCTGCACAGGAATATCATACAATCTTCTCCACAAGGCCCTTCCCAATCTGGCCGCCGCCTATCTTCCCATGGGTGCTTACTCTGTACTCTGAACCGTGCTGAGCACTTGACTTAGAGATCATTGTGTTCCCACCTCACTGGTCTGCTGTGAGAATGATCTCATTTTACAGATGAGGTAACTAAGGCTGCAAAGTCATCCAGCCATAAATCATGGAGCTGGGATCCCACTGACGTCGACAGGACTGCAAATGCTCTTAACCATCACGATCAAAAACCTCTAAAACAAATCCTCTCCACTTGGGTAGCACAACGGTTGAGTGCAAACTCTGGGATCAGCCTGCCTGAACTCAAATCCTGGCTCGACCTGTGTTACCTGGGGCACATGACTTAACCTCTGTCTCAGCCTCCTTAGACATAAAACGAGAATTACAGTAACCAACTTCGCAGAGATGACGTAAGGTTTAAAGGGGCTGATGTGTGTGGGGTGCTTTCACAGGCCTCAGTGTCATCTCTCAAAGTTTCAGCCCTACGGAAACAAGTCTGGCTTTCTCAGGGCTCCACCCTCGCCTGCAGGGCTGCCCTTCCTCCCCACATCTCTTCCAGGAATATCCTCCCCCGCCTCCACCTGAATCCCTATTTTTCTGCAAGCTGTGCTCAGGCACCACCTCCTCCACGAAGCCAGCCTCAACCTAAGGCTCCCCAGGCTCAGCTGTCCACCCTCCTGCTCCCACAGCACTTTGCCTGCACACACGGGTCAGCATCTATCACGCTGGGAGGGAACTGTTTCCGCTCCCACCTGCTCTTCCGCTCAAACCCAGCCGCCAGGGGACCATCAGTGACTATCTCACTCGGGGCCTGGCACGGAACAGGCGCAGACACTGACAGAGGGGACGATGACGGAAGAGGGCTGAGAACACTTTGGGGATGGAAATGGGGAGAGAGGCAGGACCTACGAGGCAAAGTTCAGAGGGGAACTTCAGGGGGAGAACAGACCCTTCCTAAGGGTCCCCCAAACGGAACGGGCTGTCCCGGGGGTTGAAGAGGCTTCCATCTGTGTGGGAGGCCGAGCCCCTTCACAGCCGCGACCCGGACTCGAGGAGTCAGGAGGGCAAATCCCGACCCCCAGGCTGGTCAGGCCGAGCCCCCAGGAGGGAGGTCCGCCCGAGGTCTGAGCTGGGAGAGTACGGGGGCCTAGGGGAACCGCCGGACCGAACCCGAGGCCCGGGCCGGCGGCCGTACCTGCGCTCCTCGACCTCCGCGTCCCTCTCGAGCGCCAGCAGGTCCAACTGCTTGTTCACGAAGCTCTCCACGGTCGCCGACGCCATGGCCGCAGTCCGTCCTGGGCCCGGAGCAGCCGAGGTCCCGAGCCGCCGAGTTCCGGCTGCCGCGAGGGGCGGTGCTCCCGGCCGGGCCCGGTGCGTCGACGCACCAGGTTCGCGCCTCTTCCGCTTCCGGTGTCGGTCTAGGCTGCGGGAAGATGGCGGCGGCTGTGGCGGCCGCGGCTGTGGCGGCCTCGGCCCTGCCGGTCACTTTCAGACGGCTGGTGTCTGCATGCAGCCGCAGTGTCCTGAGAGCGTCGGGGCCCGGAGAGGGTGAGACCTTGGCCGCGGGGTGAAGGGAGGAAGTGGGGCGCCCTGCCGTCCCGCCACATGTGTGTCTGTGTCCGACCGATGTTAATCGCTTTTTTTGATGCGGTGATTACAACGCGGACTTTAGACTTGGGGAAACCTAGGTTCAGATCCTGGTTCCTTTAGTTAGTAGCTTAAATACTGATGAAAGTTCCCCAACTTCCATATAGGCTGTATTTAACCGGGGGAACAAACTGAGGCTCAGAGTGGTTAGGTAGCTTGCTTACGGTCACACAGCAGGGAAGTGGGAGAGGACTGAATCAGACAGCTCGGTCCGGCTCCAAGGCCTGTGCGTTAACCATCACCCGCAGGCTGCGAGCCACGCTCTGAGCCTCACCGTCCTCATCTGGAAAATGGTGATGGATGTCCTTGCCTAATGGTAACCAATCCAGCAAAAGCGACAGCTGTATTTTAGGCACTGGGTTGTCACGAGGCTCAAAAAGATTATGTTTGTCAGAAACACTATAAACTTCTGTCTGAAACGGTTGGAGTGTGTATCTGTGTGAGGGAATGTTTATGTATGTTTTAGAATTGGGTCTGAATTGATAATAATTGTTCCCTTTTTTAGGTGTGATAATGATGTTGTGGTTGTGTTTTTGTTAAGAATCTTTATCTTTCATAGAAATACACTGACAGTTGCTTTAATCACAGAGTTGGGCCAGAGGCACTGAATGAATCAAGCTTGGCCAAGAGTTGATAACTGTTGAGTCTGGGGAGAGACACAGGAGGACTCGCTATTCTCTTTACTTTTGTATGCTTGTCATTTTCCATAATAAAACTTGGGTTTAAGCAGGCAGGGAAGTTTTTACAAAAGCAGTGGGACTTACTGCATTCTACCATTATAAAACCACCTCTAGAATGCTGTGTTCAATTCCAGACCCAATGTTTTCAGAGAGAAGCACAGATGAAGTGAACTGAGTAAAGAGAGGGTGACCAAAATGGTGAACAGGCAGGACCTTGAAGAGTGAGTGAAGGAAGCAGGGTGGACACTGGCACGATCCTTAGGGATCTAAAGGATGATCCTGGGGCACCATTTGTTCCCAGTGGGGTCACTGCTAAGCTAAGACCACAGGCAAGGGAAGCAGATCAGTTGCAGAAACTTTGTGAGCTTTCAGCGGTGGGATGGCTCTTGAGAGGCCAATCACAAGTTCCCAATCGTGGAGTGTTCCACAGGGGCCTCGTTTGATGGCTTAGCAGAGTAGATGTCATTCATTTATTCGTATATTCACCATTTATCGAGCACCTGTTACAAGTCAAACACTGGTCCAGGATAGCGAATACATCAGTTATAAACATAAAACAATAATCCCTGCTTTTATGGAGCTAGCATTCTGACGCAGGGGGAAGGGTTGTGCAGAGAGACAAGCAGATTTTTAAGAAACAGCAAATTATATAGTATGTTCGAAGCTGTTACGACTCATGGAGAAAAATAAAGCACGAGTTGGGAAGAAAGGGTTCAATTTTAAATAGGATGGGTGGGGAAGGCCTCTCTACTGAGACGGTATTGGAGTGGAGACCCAAAGGAAATAGGGAATTAGCCTGGGGGCCACGTGGGGTGGGGGAGCGTCCAGGGCAAGAGCGGTCAGGCATAGGCCCTTGCACTTGGCATCTTCCCGGAACAGCCAGGAGGCCAGAATGGCAGGCGTGCAGTGAGCGAGGGGAAGCTCGTGAGGCCTGGGCTCAGAGACAGGTGGAACCGCAACGCCCACTGCCCTGTGGCCGCTGTAAGAACTTCGGCTTTTTCTCTGAGTGAATGGGGTGCTCTTGTAGAGTCTCGCAAAGTAGTGACACGATCTGACCTCAGTTTTAACAGGATCCCTCTAGCTGCTGTGCAGAGAAGGGAGGCTAGGGCGAGAGCAGGGTGTTAGTAATAATGCAGGCTTGGGTGATTGAAGTGGTCAGAGCCTGGATCTCTCAAAGAGAGGCAAGGGGACTTGCTGATAGGTTGGCTGAGGGGTGTGAGAGAGAAGGGTCATAAATGACTGAGATTTGGGGCCTGAGCAACTAGAAAGATGGAGTCGCCATTATGTGAGATGGGGAGGGGTGCGGGAGAAGCAGGCATGAGGGGCAGATCAGGAGCCTTTGTTAGGTTCTGAGACGCCTGTTAGACATGCAGGTGACGATGACAAAGAGACAGGTGTTTGTCGTGTCCGACAGGCTGCAGGTGTAAACTTGGGAGTCACCAGTGTATAGGTGACATTTAAATTCATACAATCACCAGAGGAACGGCTACAGGTAAAGAAGAGGTGAGATCCAATGTCTAAACCACAAGCGCACCAAGATGGCAGAGGGGAAGAGACACCAGCCCAGGAGACCAAGAATTGGGAACAACCGCTAATGAGTGAGCTTTGAAAGAGTGAATTTTATGGTTTATAAATTAGAGCCCAATTGAAAAAATAAAACCAACAGTAGTTATTGAGAAACCTGTCCTCTGCTTTTTGCACTTACCAGGCATTTTATTTCTGAGTCCTTCTCAGTAGGCTGTGGGTACCTTTGTCGGTGCATTAGTTATCTACTGCTATGTCCCAGGTTACCCCCACATCCAGCAGCTTAAGATACCTAACGTGTATTATCCATCGCTGACGGTCAGGATCCAGCAGCAGCTTAGCGGGTGCTTCTGGCTCCCAGTCTCTCATTAGATTCAAGTCAGGCTGTCAGCTGGGGCTGCAGAATCTGCTTTCCAGCTCCCTCCCTGGGCTGCTGGCAGGAGGCCCCTCCAGGGACTGCTCACCGCACAGCAGCCCTGCAGCAGAGATGAGAGAGGACACCCAGGACAGCAGCTGCCCTTGTATAACTTACTCTCGGAAGTGCTGTCCTGTCACTTCTGCCACATGCTGTTGGTCACAGAAACCAGCGCCCTGTCGGGGGACAACACAGGGGTGAGAACACGAGGAGGTGGGCTCGTCAGGGCGTCCTGGAGGCCGCTCCCACACTGGGGTACCGAACAGGGCCTGAACTTAGTGGGCACCTGTGGTCAAGGAGTGGGTTAGCAGGTAGGTGATTTGGTTTTAGGCCCTTTTCAATGGCGTGACAAGCACATCCTGACGCTTATGGTAATAGCCAGTGACTATAAGTGATGTTCTTTTAGTTTTGTTGGCCTAGGTTTTTCTGTAGACATGTCGTGATGTGGTGGTTTAAGTCGCGTCCCAGTCACAGGAGCGGCACTTGCACACTGAGCATCGTAAAGGGCGGTTTGCGTTTCGTGTTAGTAACTACGCGTGTTTCTTTATTCCCTCAGCTTCCCTGTGGTCTGCTTCTCGAAGGTTCAGTTCGCAGAGCGCTTCATTTCCACAAGGGTAATATCAAAATGTGGGTTTTGGTGACTCTCTTCCTTTCCTTTCTAAAGTCAGAACTTTAAGCATTTGGGTTTTCAAGAATATTTAGTTTTCTTTTAACTTTTTGACAGTATTTTTCTCAGACCCTTGACGTATAGAAATACAGACAGAACCTCAAGCACCCAAAGGCAAAGGTGTTCTGGGCCTTGCACAGCTGTGTCTTTCCAGGCAAAAGCTTTTAACTCCTAATTGGGGATTTATTTCCAACTGGGAAGGTCGAATCACGGGATGGTTGTGTCAGAATCTCCAGGAGGACCTTACATAATTTGAAAGAGCATGTTCAGTGTTAAAGAAAACACATAAAATTAATATAAACTACAGAAGGTAAATTTGACAAAATCGTACTCAGGTAGGAACACACAGGGTCCCGTCCCTGCCCCGCCCTGTCAGCCCGGGTCCCTGAGCAGGGCCACGCACTCTGAGCTTCGTTCCTCTTCGGCAAAATGGAAGCAGTATTAGTCTCCGTCTCAGTGGGTTTTCATGAGAGTCGAGTGAATTTCTGCATTTAAAGAGCTTAGAAGGGAGCTTCCCTGCTGGCACAGTGGTTAAGAATCCGCCTGCCAATGCAGGGGACACGGGTTCAAGCCCTGGTCCGGGAAGATCCCACATGCCGCGGAGCAACTAAGCCCGTGCACCACAACTGCTGAGCCTGCGCTCTAGAGCCCGCGAGCCACAACTACTGAAGCCCGCGTGCCTAGAGCCCGTGCTCCGCAACAAGAGAAGCCACCGTGATGAGAAGCCTGCGCACCGCAACGAAGAGCAGCCCCCGCTCGCCGCAACTAGAGAAAGCCGGCGCGCAGCAACGAAGGCCCAATGCAGCCAAAAATAAAATAAACTTTTTAACAAAAAAGAGCTTAGAAGGACTTGTGGTTGCCATGGGGAGGGGATGGATTGGGAATTTGCGATTAACAGATACAAAGTATTATCCATAGAATGGATAAACGACAGGGTCCTCCTGGAGAGCATAGGGAACTATATTCAGTCTCCTGAGATAAACCATGGCAGAAAAGCATATAAAAAAGAATGCATGTGTATAACTGTATCACTATGCTGTACGGCAGAAATTAACATTGTAAATCAACTATACTTCAGTACAAAAATTAGAAAAAAAAAAAAGAGAAGAGCGCCTGGCACGTAGTAAGCTCTCAGTGCAGCCACCTGCGCTCCTGCAGCAGAGATTCTCAGCAGGGGGGACGCAGGGCCTGGTGTTTCCCTAAAGGAGCAGTGGGCACCCTGGGTGAGGGTGGAGGCAGAAACCCTAAAGGGTGCTTTCATGAACTCGGCTGACTTCTCCTGTGACCGCCGTGAGTGGCCACTGCTGCCCCCAGTCCCGTTCCGAGGTTTGTCCCTCGGTCCTCGGCTGGCTGCTGCCGGGCCGCCCGGGGCTGCTCAGACACGATGCGTGACGGGAGTGCACAGCTTCATTTGGGGGCCAGTGGACTCCGGCAGGGAAGGCGTTCGCTCACTTCACAGTGAGCGAACAGTGAGCTGGAAGCGGCAGGGTCCCCAGTTTTCTGGGATCTTCTGGCTGGTCTAAGAGTTAAATTGACGTGAGACAGGTTAACAGGAGAAAAATCAAACCAAAGTTTAATAACCTGTACACACAGGAGAGACCCAGGAGAAATGAGCCACTCGCACAAATGGCAGAAGCCCTCACCTTAAGTAGCACCTTCAGCTAAAGACAAAAGACGATGTTGAGGGTGGGGGTTTGAGACTTCAAAGGGGACGAAGGCAATTCACGTGGAGGTGGAAAAGCAGATGTTTGGTGAATAAATGTTGGCTGGGCCTGCAGAGACAGTGGGACAGGAGCGGCCTCAGATCTCTGGGCCCCTGTGTTCCTCGCAGCCGTCTCTGGTGATGCTGTGTCCCAGGACAGGCCCTCCATCTCGAGTCTTTCAGGAAGCTGCGCGCAGACCCAGGCCTGCCTGCCTCCTGCCAAAGTTTCTTCCTGCGTCTTTTGGGCCTTGATTGTTTTCGGCTTGAAGTAATCTGCACGCCTAAGAGACATTTTGGGGCGAGCAGGTTTTGCCCTCCTACAACTGCGGGGGCAGCTGTCCCGCCAGCCACACAAGCATCAGAGACGTGCCGGATCCTTGCCCTTCCTAGTGTGCTGAGCGCAGTCATTTCTCACACATCTTGAACCGTCTTTTCACGTGTGTGTGACCCACGTCTGTAAAATATTTTTACAGATACGTTCCTAAAACGTCACTGAGTTCACCACCTTGGCCAGAAGTTGTTGTGCCAGACCCCGTCGAGGAGGCCAGACACCACGCAGGTAAGAGAGGCAGAAGCTAGGGGGTGGCGCCCCTGCTTCCACCACAGGGGGCCTCCTGGCCACAGAACAAGGACTTCACGTTTCCAGGTGCCCGAGACACGGCGCAGCGTGAAAGCTCAGGTTCGCTCAACACCAGAGCTCAAAACCCTCATTCGTTGAGCCAGTCCTCCTAGGGCAGCAAGGCACCAGCCGAGCCGCAGGCAGGTAGTGCGGGTGGCGCGAGGGCCAGGGCCCAGCTCTGTCTCCCCGCTGTTGGTAGAAACGGGAGTTCAGGGAAGAAGAACGACGTGCCTGGTCATCGGTGGAAGCCGGCCCCAGCCCAGGTGTTCAAGAGGCCATCAGGGTGTCAGGAGGCATGTCACACAGGATGCGTGTCGCCAGGAGGGCAGTGCGGCCACCACGCCCAGCACCGGGATGAGTGCGAGATCCTCAGTTTCCAAAAGCTGAAGTCCATAGTAACGCGTGGAACCTTGCAGTTGTTAAATACTATTTCGGATGCTGTGCCCGAAAAGTACAGCTGCAGGCGAGGTTCCGCCCTCTTGGCCAGGTGCAGCCGAGGGCGTGACTCGGTTTCCAGGGCAGACGCTGTGCCCTGCGCCCAGCCCCAGGCGAGGCCAGGAGGGTCGGGGCAGGAGAGAAGGGCCGGGCCTAAGACGAGGCGGTGACCGTGGGAGCGGGGACTGGGTGTGGGCGGACGCGAGCAGGTAGCATCCAGCGCCACGAGGGTATAATTCTAGGTTTTCCTTGTTTGCAAGCAGGCCTCTCCTCTCACTTTGCCAGGCCGCTGGCTCGTTAATAACGACTGGGAATGAAACCAGGTGAGGGTTTCTCCACCGCAGGGTCAGAGAAACCCAGCCAGGCGCGCCGAGCGCTCAGGCGGGAGGATGGCAGGGGGATGGGGGCTTCTGTGCCGTCGGGGCACGATCGTCTATAAGAGCCCCGTGTGCCCCGCGCACCCCAGTGCCAGCTCCTGGGAGCAGCGGCTCACCCTGGCCTGCGGTGGGGCAGCGGGCACCCGGGTGAGGGTGTAACTGTGACCCTGACCGCCCTTCTCCCCACAGAGGTCGTGGAGAAGGTGAACGAGCTGATCGCCCGGGGCCGGTACGGCAGGCTCTTCGCAGTGGTGCACTTCGCCAGCCACCAGTGGAAGGTGACCTCTGAAGACCTGATCTTAATTGAAAACAAGTTAGACGTTGCGTGTGGAGAGAGGATCCGGCTGGAGAAGGTGAGACTGAGTCAGCTCTGGGGACGTGGCAGGCTGGCCAGTGGGTACGGTGGGGTCAGGGGGGTGTGGGCAGAGCTGCTCCCCGAGGGCGGCCCGATTCGGTAGGGCCCCTCCTTACAGGGAGCCGATCAGCACGTTTCTCTAAGGGTACGCGTGTGTCTGTCTCACGTCAGACAGAGAAGGGTTTGTCTCACGTCTCCTTAGTGTATTCTTAGAGGAAAATATCTGATCACAGGTACAGTGAAAATCCCAGTTAGGGATGTAAAGAGTTCTCAGGCCTGGATTTATGAAGAGAAAATGTTCCGTTTCGCCTCGAACACTGCCCTGACGTTAGGCGTGACAGCTGCCGCTGTGCTGAACGGCGAGCACGGTTTAGAGGCGCCTCGCAGGGCGCTGGTCGTCTTCCGACCTTCCTGAACTGCCGCGAGGTGTGTCCTGCGTGTTTAGCCAAGTGCCTCTGCCCTCCGCTTGTGTTCGGGGGCCTATTTGGTTTTTGCCTATTCTACTTCTGTTCATAAAACTGTAGATAAAATATGAGATTTCTGTACCGGATCATTTTTTAGGACGTGGTTAACTGTTGGTGCGATGTGATGTGACATATGGTTTTCTTTATAATTTAAAACTCCTCCTTCCTTTGAGATTGTAGATTCTTTGCACATTTACACCCAGGGGAGCATTAAACTCTCCTTTCTCAGACGGTCTTCCCACAGCCTGTGATCCGAGCAGGACCACGGCTCAGGCTGAGCCAGGGCGCTGTGTGGACGCCAGCAGCCAGCACAGCCCCTTCTCCTCGGTGACCCCCGTGGTTCTGTCATGAGCTCACGAACAAGAGTACATTTACCTTTTACATCTCAAATGAGAGACTTCTGGAGTGTTTTTGTGAGGATCTCTAAAAAGACATTATTTTGAAACATTTCACATTAACAAAAACGTAGGAAGCTCCACCTAATGCGGGTGGTTTTTCGTAACGTCGGAAGCCCAGCAACAGAGAACGTGTCGGGCTGAGAATGAGTCAAGCAAGATTTCACTATTTGTCATCACGCAACACACGCAGCGCGTTGACGTCATGATAAAATAGGCTTTGCCTTTAGACATTTAAGCTTAATGCAATCGAGTTTTTTTCTCATCAGGAGAATTTCAGACAGTCTCCCAATGTCTAGTGAGAACCCCACTGCACTTGGGTCGCAGAACTGTCTTCATCTGAGGCCATGCTTAGCGTCACAGTTTCCCTCCAGTGAGAGAGGCTGCCTGGCCGTGCAGGGTTTTGCAGTCATTAAAAGAATACCTTGAACCTCAATCTTTGCAGTATCAGCAGGACTGTGAACTGCATAAAAGACACCACAGTCTGGTTTGTGCATTTTTTCCCCGTATGTATTATACTTCAATAAAAAGTTGTATTTTAAAAGCCACTGTTGCCATAGGAGGTTACCTGCTCGCCCAGATGACCGAGTTCCACGTGTCCGGGTCTGACAGCACGGGCGTGTCCGCAGGCAGCCGGGCGCCCCTGCACACACAGCCACGCCGCCAGCTGGCGCCCCCTCTGTCCCAGGTTGAGGGAGTGGCTAGTTAGATAGCAGAGGAAGCCCACGTTTTGGTTTCGGGGAACCGACACCTTGCTTCCTTTCCAGTGTGCTCGGGCGACTGCCTGTTCTAGGGGCTTTGTGTTATTTGCTGGTAACATGCCTATTTGATTCCAGGTCCTGCTGGTTGGGGCCGACGACTTCACGCTGCTCGGCAGACCCCTCCTCGGGTAACGTGCTCTCAGATGCCGGCGGGGAGGCTAGGCAGAGGGGCTCCCGTCACACCCGCTGCAACCACCAAGCTCAACACGCTTACGCTTCTCACTGTGGGTGTGTAGTGTCCCACGTACAGAGCATCCAGGACAAATCGTTGACCTGTTACTCATTCACTGCAGTTTGGCCCTTTTAAGATTTGCTGTGGGATGACACTGTTCTTTGTTGTGCTTTTTGGTAGTTTTCACAGTGCCTGCAGGGAGGGCGTATGACGTTGATAACCGGCAGAAAAGGAAGTTAAACTTTATTTAGATGTTCTCACGTAAAGCACTAGTAAAACTGAAAAATAATCAGGAAGGTACATTACTGTTCGTTTTCCTCTCTTCCAGAAAGGATCTTGTTCAAGTAGAAGCCACAGTCATTGAAAAGACAGAATCATGGCCAAAAATCAACATGAGATTCAAGAAAAGGAAAAACTACAAAAGGAAAAGAAGTAAGTTGGAGAAAGCGTGGCTGCTGCGTTCCCGTCCTCTGGGTGTTGCCCCGCGTCCTGTGCTGGGCCAGGTTGGACGGGGCCCTGCCCTCTGCCAGGCGCTTTTGTGGGTGCAGCAGCCCAGAGACCAGTGAGAGCTCTGCCCACGTCCTGGCTCTGCCGGGGAGGGGTGGGTAGCAGTCGTTAACCACTCCGGGGCTTGTGGAGGGCGCAGCCCTGGCAGCTGGGTTCCTGCCGGACAACCCAGAAGCAGGTCACGTGTCCACCACGGGGAATGGACGAGCAACGGAGATTCCCTCAGTGGGATGTTGTCCAGTGCAGTGGATGGCCCACCTCCACACGGCAGGGACGATCTTAGACTATGTGAGGGTGAGGCCGAGTCATGAAGCCCGGAGGTGGGCAGAGCTCAGCCTCGTGCTGCTGGGCACACGCTCGCGCCCACACGCATTACGCACACACATAACAACGGCACATTTTTAAAGGAAGAACGGTTTGCACAGAATCACGGGTGTGGCTGCCTCTGGAGGGGCGGGGAAGGAAGGAGTCACAAATGCAGAGGGATCGTGTGTCCTGTGTTCCAATTCCTGTGGGCGGCTCGTCAGACTTCATCTTACCGTAATGCTTCGGGCGTTCGTTCATGTTTGTTCCGTGAAGCAAAGGCAGGTGGGGACAGCATCCTCAGAAGGTGGTTAAAGAGAAGAGGTGGTGGCTGGAAGGGTGTGAGGTCGACTGGGCCGGGAGGCGGAGGTGGGGCTGGTTTGTTTGAAGGAGGGAAACAGGCTTTGGGGGAGGAGGGAGGCCCGTCTGGAGCCCGAAGGAAGGCAGTCCTGGGAGAGACAGTCAGGAGAGGTTTCCCTGGGGAGGCGGCAGGTGGGGTGGCCCCTGGAGGGCCAGGGCATCCGGATGCTGGTGGGATGGAGCGGGCAGGGTGGGCTCGAGCACAGGGGCTGAGAGACCAGGGACAGGAGGCCCCTCCGTCCTGTCCCCCGGCCGAAGGGGCGTCCAGGCGCATGTGGTGCCCCTGATTTAAAGGGCCAGTAACAATGGGCGTCACCAAGGTTGGTCTGCTGGGAGGGGGGAGGGGATGGAGGCGGGAAGGGGTGAGGTCAGAGGTCGGAGAGGTGAAGAAGCAGTGCCCCTGTGTGGACTTGCCGCGGGTTCTGGCAGGTGCAGCGCGTGGGGTGGACAGAACCTCAGCCGGGAAGGGAGGAAGCGGTGGCGGGAAGGGCTGGCACCTGAGGGGGGACTTCACAGCAGGGGCCTCCCCCAGGGGCGCAGGCAGGGCCTGGTGAGCGGGAGTGGAGAGGCCACCGCATCCAGCAGCCTTGTGGTGACTTGTGGGAGTTGGCGGCTCAGCATAGGGACAGGAGGGGAGCCTGTGCCCTGAGTTGGGGCAGGAGACCCCGCTCTCCCTGCCCGGCCTCACGGAGCAGGGCCGGGACGAGGGTTCACGGAGGGATCCCCCTCAGCCCTCACCTAGCCGTTGCTGCCCGCTTTCCACGGCCTGGGCTGTGTCTCCCCCGTCTCCCTGACCCCACACGACCTTTTGTTCCCATCCAGAGCCCCCTGCCATTTCCCAGTAAACCCACAAGCGGGAACAGAACTGTCCCTGCAGGGGCCTCCACTGGAGGTCACAGCCCCTTGGGGCGGGACCCACAGGCTGCAGCATCTTGTCTCAGGAGGTGCACAGTTGCCCCCTATATCCCCGTCTGCCATACTCGCAGAGTCAACCAGCCACAGATGGAACATTTGCAGGAGGGACTTCCTGGCGGTCCAGTGGTTGACTCCGTGCTTCCAATGCAGGTTTGATCCCTGGCCAGGGAACTAAGATCCCACATGCCACAACTAAGAGCCCGCGTGCCGCAGGGCCAAAAACAAAAAAATTTGCAAGAAAAAAAAATTCCAGAGAGTTCCAAAAAGTAAAACTTGAATTTGCTTCACCAAGTACTTACATAGGATGTATATTATACGTTGTATTTACACCTGTTCATATGGCGTTTACAGTGCTTTAGGCCTCACATGTGACCTAGAGATGGTTTAGAGTGTACGGGAGGGTGTGTGTAGGTCACATGCAGACACTAGACCGTCTTATTAAGGGGCTTGAGCATGCTTGGATGCCGGTGTCCTCGGGGGTCCTGGAACCCATCCCCTGCAGGTAACGAGGGACGATGTGTGTCTCACAGTCCTCGGTTACAAACGGTGAAACGTACCAGGGACGGTAGCTTCAGCTTTACTAGAGCTGGGTCAGTGGGGAGCCTCTCCTGTACCCTCCGCCACCTCCAGTAGCCTCAGCGTAGCCAGAAGGGGTGCCCCCACCCATGCAGGGCAGGGGTCTCTGGGCACGTGGGGGAGGCCAGGCTGGGGGCCCGCAGCAAGGGCGCCCCTGGCCTCCAGGCCCCGGGGTGTTGCAGCCCCTGTGGGGTCTGACGGGGCTCACGGAGCGAGTGGTGAGGCAGGTGGTCAGTGATGACCAAAAACCACGGCCTGTGGGGCATCACTGGGTGGCCAGTTCTGCCTGGCTGTGGGCGGTGCTGGTGCAAGGCAGACCCTCGAGGAAAGAGCGGGCGGCGGCTGGGTCTTGCGGTAGCTGGTTGACGGCATCCGGATCTGTGTTCATGCCGGGCCCTGCTCTGTCTTGCAGTTATCGTGAGCCCTCAGACCATCCTCCGGATAAACACCATCAGGATTGCTCCATGTCTGTGCTGATCATCCAGCTAATGTTTCTAGAAATATAAAAATAAACCCACTTTCCGAGGAGTCCGGGTCTCTGTGTTCTGGGGTCGGCGGCTCTGCCGTAACAGGCTCAGTCCTGTCGTGGATCGCTGGAGGCTGAGCACCCTGACTGGGAGCTTGTCCTTAGTAAGGAATAGTCTCCCTTGGCTGGAGAAACAGGAATTCGGGAAGAATTACAGGCGTGGCGCTCCCAGGGCTGGAGCCTGGATGCTCGTGTAAGACACAGACTGATATCACTGGCTGCCCTCCACCGGGCACCGCAGGTGTGCGACGTGGGGGACACAGCCGGGGCCCAGGAGCTGACGCCAGGAGAGACACGATCTGGATTCCACTCCTGGGCAAGAGGTACAAAGACGTGAGCAAATTCCCATCCCTCGGGTAATCCAACTACCTGTTTCTAGTGATTTGCTTTTCCGAGAAGCTGAGATGCAAACCAGGCATCTGGGTGCAGAGTCCCTGCCCTTGTCCTTCTGCTCCGCTGGGTCCAGCAGGGAAGGGGGGGCACTCTGTCCAAGGCCGGGGCGCGGCGCTGGGGCTGCAGAGCTGGGGCAGCGCAGCACGTGCTTGGAACTGGATGTGAAGTGACAGAGCAGAGGGGCCGGAGCAGTTTTGAACCTGATCCTGAAGGCAGCCTCCTGTCCCAGAAGGGTTGGGGGCTGCTGTCTGGGGCGGGTCAGGCTGGCAGCTGACCCCTGTGACAAGGGAGGGATCCCGAACCAGATTGGCCAGGGCTGGAGGGCAAATGGAAGGACGTGGAGGTGGGGGTCAAGTGTAGGGAGCGGGGGGCTCCCAGGCGGCCCAGGTGTCTGGTTCTGTGTCCTTCACAGAGGCCAGGCTTCCTCCAAGAGAAAAGTTAGGGCTTTCAAGGGACACAATAAAACCCTTTATCAAACTGTAGTTAATACTTTCTTCCAGAGTCCCATGATGGGGGAGTGAGCGAGGCAGGCGGCACTGCACCAGGAGGCCTACCCCTCTCCTCCCTGCCCCCTTTCAGGTACCCAGTGTCCCTCAGGGATGCTGGGGGACGCTGGCTGGCCAGGCCGTGGGGATGCTCCCCCTCCTGCAGTGCCCTCCATGTACAGCAGGGGGCAGCAGTCCTACTGGATGCGGAGATTCTGCATTCCGGCCGCTGGTTACTGGCTGCAGTGCCCCTGGGGTGGGCGGCAGGGGTGGTGGGCCCACCTCAGAGAGTGGGTGCTCTCCCTCTGACACCGCCGCGTCAGGATCTGTGATAACTTTCCACACGCTGTGACTCGTGCGGACTGCTCTGAGAGCCACAGCTCCGGATCCCGGGGCCTGGCTCTCTCCAGGTCTTCTCGGCCGGCCTAGGGCCCACTCCTGTGGTCCTTTTAACCTGTGCAGGTAAGGTGGGAATCACCTTCCACATCCTTCATCTTATGCACATCCATATGCTTGAAATACAGAACAGGTTCTGAAGTCGTCTGCTATAGTGAGGCAGCACAGCTTATGTAGTTGGGGAGGGGGCGGGTGGTTCCGGACCCAGACTGACCTGGTGTGAACCCCACACCCACCCTCCAAGGAGTCCTTGGGCACGTTATCTGGTCCCTGGGCCTCAACTTCCTCATCCCTCAAATGGGGGCGATACTAGTACCCCCCGCTGGACCGCCGTGAGGATTCTGGGCGACAGCAACTGCTCAGCCGAAGTCAGCATTTGTGATCCTAGAAAGAGGCAGAGCCACTGTGCTCTGGGGAACTGGTGATGTGCCCATAAAGCATTGGCATCGGTGTCGAACTGGTGAAAGATGACTCCTTTTAAAAACTGGACTAGGCAACATTCACAATAGCCAGGAGGCAGAAATAGCTCGAGTCCATCCTGATGGATAAACAAATGTGGTCTACAGTATAATGGACGTGTTTATTCAGCAATAAGAAAGGAATGGTCAGGACTCCAAGCTTCCACTGCAGGGGGCACAGGTTCAATCCGATTGGGGATCTAGGATCCTGCAAGCCGGCACAGCCAAAAAAAGAGAGGACTGGCGGCATTCTGACACTTGCCACAGCGCAGATGGCCTTGAGGACAGTGTGCTGAGTGAAAGAAGCCAGACACAGAAAGGACAAATATGGTATGATTCTACTCATGTGAAATACCCAGGCTAGGCGGATTCATAGAGACAGAAAGTAGGTGAGAGGTCATCAGGGGCTGGGGGAGGGGAAGCAGAATTCTCCCTTGAATTCTCACTTCCTGGGCACCGGGTTTCTGTTTGAGGTCATAAAAAAAGTCGGGCGGTGGCTAGTGTGATGGTTGCACAGCATCGTCAATGTCATTCATGCCGACGGATTGTCAGTTAAAAGTGGCTAAGTTGGCAAATTGTATGTTACGTATATTCGCCACAACTTTTTAAACAGGGAAAAAACCCACTAGGTTAATGAGTTACATCAGTTGACTGAAAAAAGAAGGCAAAAATTGGATTCCCGTGGCTGTCGTTGATGACTGTCCCCTTCCAGCTGTTCTTGGCTGGTGCCTGGACACTGCAGCTGCAGGTCACCTGGGCTTGGCGGGGGGCTCCAGCCACACCACCCTCACCGCCTGTCACCTCGCTGCCTGCGGGGTCCTCCCAGGCCGGTGTCTCTGTTCCCTTTTTCACAGGACTACTTTGCTGCTCCGTCTGCAGTGGGGCCTTCACCCTGGCCTCCAAGCACCTGCTTGCCTCCCTGCCCCCCCCACCCCATTAATCCAGACCCCTGCCCAGCGGGCACCACCTTGGCCTCGCCCGGCTCCCGAGCTCAGGCTGGCCCTCCACCCTCCGCCCAGTTCACTCCGCCAGACTGCAGGGCTAACCCTCTCAGGGCCAGGTGTGGCCCGAGACCCGAGTCCGCTGTCACCCCAAAACCTAGCAGGTCCAGACAGATAGTGAGGGTGGAGCACGTAGGGGGAGCGTGAAAGGGGACGATGGGATGCAGGCCAGCCCCGGGCCAGGCACAAGGGCTTTGATCAGACTGTCACTTCCGTTATTAACCAGGGGGCCTGGCTGCTACTGAAACGTATCACTGGCTCAGATGGGGCTGTGGAGCTGTCCCATCTCAGCAGGTCCCCCCCCAGGTCACTGTCCCTGCTCCCCGTCTTCTACCTGGTGTCAGCGCACATGTATTTTACTGTCCCGGGTTTCTCCTCTGCCTCCCTCCCCCACTGGACCACTAGCTCCAGGAGGGGGGAGCGTATCTGTTTTATTCACTAATGTACACGCAGCATCCAGGACCACACCTGGCCCGCGGCAGGGATGCAGGTGCATGCACGAATGTCTCTGTCACAACCCCTAATTCCACGCTGCTGCTGACCAGGGGAGGGCTGAAGGGGCTCCTTCCGTCTGCAGGGTGGGTCCCAGGCTGTGCTTGGGGCCGCAGGCGTGGGGGCATGCGGGCTAGTGGGGGAGGAGGGTCAGTGGAGCCTGCCCAGTGGCGTCGGGTGAGGCTGCTGGTCCAGCAGCTTTACGGAAAAGATGGGAGTCCTTGGTGTCCAGCAGGACCACAGTCAGACAGAGCTCTACAAACATTAAAGATGTAAGTTGGGAATTCCCTGGCGGTCCAGTGGTTGAGACTCGGTGCTTCCACTGCAGGGGACACAGGTTTGATCCGTCGTTGGGGAACTAACATCCCACATGCCATGCAGTATGGCCAAAAAAAAATTTTTTTAATACTTTTTAAATAAAGATGTAAATTGCTGTACAGTGCCGGCGGGGCTGCTCTGGTTCCTGCAGGTGAGCCCAGCTGTCAGGAGGGCAGCTTCCTCCGGACGTCTCCACACCCCTGGGGCCTCAGACTCCTGGGGCCACTTCTGCTGAGTCAGGGCACAAACCCGCAGGGCCTGGTTCTCGGAGATAAGGGCAGCACACCTGGTGGCTGGGTGCCCCTTGACCCACTTCCTGCGAGGCCCTGCGGCAGAGATGGGGAAATGCAGAACCTGGAATGCTCACCTCCCTGGAGACGCCATCTGGCTTGCTTCTTCCTCTGCTCCCGTGGGCGGCCACCAGAGACACATCCTCCCCTTGGAACCCTTCCAGGCCTTGGTGTGCAGTACAGGATTGCAAAATAGAGTCCGGCCCTACCCCAGTCTCCTGATAGAAGTTCAGGACTGGCAGAGTCGTTATCAGGTTGTCCTGGAACGATCTTGGGGGGACAAAGGTCACCTCGTGGAGGGGTCATTTTCAAGTAAAATTGCCTGGCGTGGGGCCTGCCTGCAGCCAGCAAGCCAAAGAGGAAATCGTGAAAGGGTGGGGAGACGCAGCCCCTGCCCTGAGGGGACAAAGGAGCAGAGTTGAGGCCATTACTGGGAGGTCCATGCAGGTCAGACCTTGACAACGGTGACATCTGTGAGATGCTCTGTGCCGGGTGCACTAAATCATCTAAGCCTCCAAGAGCCCTGCAACGTGGGTACTGTCATTTCTCACCATTTTACACACAAAGAAACTAAACTGTAGAGGGGTGAAGGTGTTTTTTTGGTTCCCCAGATAGTTCTGATATGGGCGGCCGGGGTTGAGGAAGTTCAGTGGCCAAGTCTCCCCTCTTAACCGAGGCCAAGGGAGGCCTTCTTGGGGCTGAAGCTTTGGACAAATAAAAAACTGAGGGGTTTTTTTTTGGGGGGGGGGGGTTGTTTGTTTTTTTGTTGTTTAATATAAATTTATTTATTTATTTTTGGCTGCGTTGGGTCTCCATTCCTGTGCACAGTCTTCCTCTAGTTGCGGTGAGCGAGGGCTACTGTTCGTTGCGGTGCGCAGGCTTCTCATTGTGGTTTCTCTTGTTGTGAAGCATGGGCTCTAGGCGCACGGGCTTCAGTAGTTGTGGCACGTGGGCTCAGTAGTTGTGGCTCGTGGGCTCTAGAGCGTGGGGGCTTCAGTAGTTGTGGCACACGGGCTTAGTTGCTCTGTAGCATGTGGGATCTTCCTGGGCCAGGGCTCGAACCCGTGTCCCCTGCACTGGCAGGTGGATTCTTAACCACTGCACCACCAGGGAAGTCCCTGAGGGGCTTTTTTGAATTGTTCAAAGTGGTGTCTTGAAACTCCCCAAGT